TTCAACAACGACTTCTCTATGATTCGTTTTTCCCATTCGAAACCCAATTCTTAGAATTCGAGTTGGGTATCCTCATAGGAAGTTCTACATTATTGAGCTTAAATCTCATTCCCCTCGATGAGCACTAGACCTTGGACTATGATCATAGATTTTCCTCCAACTTTTGTGTTTGCCAAAGGCCTGGTTGGTGGTATAGTGGGTAACGAAGAGATTTAACTCATTCTTATTCTCACTTTTTCCACATCAACCCACTTGTCTGCTAGCTCATAAAATTCACATTCATATTTCTCAAATTCTCAATTCATGGTACCACAATTTTTGATATCGAGCTAGTGAACCACCTTTTTCTTTCCATACATGTCAAACATGTATTTAAGAATTTTTAACTCAAACACCATTGTACCTTGTTGTACAATAGGAATGTCCATCACATACCCCTTTTCTCAAGTGCCTTATTATTTTTTTTTTCTCATCATACACCATTATACCATAATTGTATAATAGGAATGCATATCACATTTATTTTGTTAAGCACCATTATACCTTATTGTCTAATAGGAGTGCATATCACATTTACTTTCTTAAGCACCATTACACCTTATTGTACAATAGGAATGCTATGCAAAATCTCAATTAGGCATCATTGGTCTCATCACCAATAATATATAGGGATATCACAATCCTCCACATTAAGAGCATTTCAAATATGTGATTTTTCACATTTCTCAAATAATTGAGTTCACGAAAAAACTCATTTTCTCACAAAATTTTCATAAGAGCATATAAGCTCATCTCACATTTTATCGCCATAAAATGGCTCCTCGGTCACATAAGCTTAAAGGTTTAACTTACGTTTCCAGAGTATATCAACCCAAATATCAAGTCCTTTTTTTAAAAAAAAAAAATTGTTGCATGGACGAAATGGGGTAGCTCTCTTCTTTAGTCTTTTCACTTGGTCAAATTTTCACAGACCATTTTCCATGGTTCCTAATTGAGTAAGACAACACAACATTCACTAAAGATTTGTCAGAGAGCAAAAATAATCAACTAACAAAATATATGATTATGAAAAATATTTTACACATAATGGCATAACCAATGCACTTAATATTTTACTAGCCGTTGGAGTTAAATCACATTCATGTTGAAATTTATTAGCTGCAAATACAACTCCTTAAAGATTGCATCATGGCATAATAGTTTCACATGCTAGGTAATTTTTTTTTTACTCTTTTTTTTTTCCTTTTACTATTGAAAATATCTCACAAATTAAGAGTACGACAGCAGCAAAAGGAGCACATATCTGCACGCATTAAATTCATAACAATTTCCATTTATGATATTTCAAGCTGTTGGAAATTAAACAAACCAATAATATCATTAAGCTCCAACATGTCATGATAAAAATATGTATATTCATTTGCAAGAGCAACATATGAAAGTAATCGGGTTAACACTATTTTTTTTTTTATTCACATGCCATTAAAATAAATAGTCTACCATTCAAGCATGTGCTAATAATCATATTAGGATCTAAGAACTCATACCTTCGGTTGACAAATTAATAGCATTTTCCTCATTGAGGACATATGCCAAATTTAACAAATTAAGATAATATAAAACTTTTCCTTTCCATCTTTTGAAATGCTCACCGTTAAAACGAATAGGCATGTTAAGATCATTAGCAAGCTTAACAGGTTTTTCACGAGGTAAACTCTTTTTTTTTTAAAGAATTTTTCTTTCGAACCATCCTAAAATTGTTGTACCTCGTAAAAATAAATAGAAAAGAAAATAGATAGAAGAATAGCAAAAAATAGTTAATTAAAGATGAAGATGAAAAGTAGAAAGATGTCACCGAAAGTATGAGGAGCTTGAGCTGAGGCATGGATCAATCACTCTCTTTAGGACGTTTCGTGCCACTGGTGCAGCAGATTTTTATGGTCATGTCGCCCCCAGGATACAATAGCCCAACCTTCTTGTTGTATCTTTACAAGTACTGCACTCTTGTAAAGAAAGCTCTACCCCACCACCTTTTCCTTGCCTAAAGAGAGTTTGTATATTGTGTTTGTGAAATAAGAGTGCAGATCATGAAAAATTGTATCCAACTTTGGTACAAACGGAGGTTGCCTTTTTTATAGGCTTTCCCAAATTGTAACTGAAGTAGAAACCTGTTAAAGATTTTTAATTGAAATTCTCTGGTATCAAGCAAGATTTGTAACTGATGCAATCAAATATAATAATGTATAGATTTAAAACCATTTGACAAAACGAAAATGAATGGATTGTAATTGTTGCCGGTTAAAAGCAAAATTAAATAATGAATTTGTAACCATTGGAATAGAACTATCGGTTACAATTTTTTTTTTAATTAAAATTTACAACGCTAACAACTTTTCTGTTGACATACCGACTGCTATTGGGCGGCTACTGGAGCTTAGGAATCTTCAGCTCCACCAGAATCAGTTCAACGGTTCCTAACCGGCCGAAATTGGTGACTTGTCTGAACTTGAATATCTAGCAATGGCAACTAACATGAAGTTTCTGCCATCCATTTTGCCCCAAAGCTTCACATAGTTGAAGAAACTACTGGTTTTATGGATGTCCGATTCAAATTTGATCGGATAAATCCCGGATAGGATCGGAGACATGGCAGCTCTTGAGCTTCTGGATTTATCAATGAACAGATTAACGGGGAAAATCCCGGATGGTTTGTTCATGTTAAAGAATTTGAGTGCATTGTATCTTTACAAGAACAAGTTTTCCGGAGAGATTCCCCAGGTAATTGAAGCATCCAATCTGATTGTGCTTGATCTTTCCATGAACAATTTGACCGGAATAATACCAGATGATATTGGGAAACTACAGAAGTTGAAAATTTTGAGTCTGTTCTTCAATCAATTGTCCGGTGAAATTCCTCAGAGTCTTGGACAGATACCGACATTAAAAGATGTCAGGTTGTATAGCAACAACCTGATCGGTGTCCTTGTTGGATAAGTCTTTAGATTTTTCCTGGTATTTAGCCATTTCTTTGTACGTGTCTTTGTGTTTCCTAGTTATTAGGAAGTAGTTTAACGTGTTTTAGTTTTCAGCATAGTGGTTGCTATTTTGTAGCTTTGTTGGTTGGCACCTTGACTATTTATGGGTCATTTGATTGTTAATTGGTATTATTATCTGAAATATATTTCTTCCTATTCAATTATTTTACAGAGTGTCTTGTGATCTTTACTTCTCAAATTGCTTAGTTTTCCTTCATTATTTATTGTGCTCACCAACTATTTATTAAAATTCCTGAGAGAGTATTCCATTATTTGGCCCCTTTTATTCAACATCTGGTATTAGAGCTTGGTTTGTCCAGAGATTGAAGGCAGCAACAGCAGCAGTAAAGATGGCCTCTGAAACTTTTGTGCAGCTAGCAATTCCTCGCTTTGATGGTCACTATGATCATTGGAGCATGCTAATGTAGAATTTCTTGAGGTCCAAAGAGTATTGGAATGTGGTTGAATCTGGGGTGGTTGAATCTGGGGTAGCAGAACCAACTGCTGTGATGTTAGAAGCTCAGAAGGCAGAGTTGGAGGCTTTAAAATTGAAGGATCTCAAAGCCAAAAATTATCTCTTTCAGGTAATTGATCGGACAATCTTGGAGACTATTCTTTGCAAAGATACCTCCAAGTAAATTTAGGATTCAATGAAGAAAAAGTACCAGGGAACCACAAAGACAAAGAGGCAGCAGCTTCAAGCACTTCGTTCGGAGTTTGAAATAGTTTGAATGAAAGAGGGTGAGATTGTTACTAACTATTTTTCTAGGACAATGGCAATTGTCAACAAATTAAGGACCCATGGTGATAAGACACAAGATGTTACTATTGTTGAGAAGATACTTCATTCAATGACACCAAAATATAATTTTGTTGTCTATGCTATTGATGAGGCAAATGATCTTGATGAAATGTCACTTGATGAACTTGAAAGTTCCTTGTTGGTACATGAAAGGAAGCTAAATCGCCAAGATAAGGAGGAATTAGCATTGAAGGTATCAACTGATCACTATTCTTCAACACCACATAAAGCCAACAGAGGTAGAGGCAAAGGAAATATGGATCGAAGGAGCCATCAAACTCAATCTTATGATTCCCAAGGGAGAGGAAGGGGACGTGGCAAATGTCATTCAGCAACTTACAAGCCAAAGTTTGCAGACAAGTCTACCGTTGAGTGCTATCGATGCCATAGGTATAGACATTACAAATCTAAATGCCGAGCTAATTTGCCTAAGATGGATGGAGAAAAGTCTCATTTTGCAGAAACAGAGGAAGAAATATCTTTGTTGATGGTTTGTCATGCAAGGGAAGAAAATAACAAGAATTTGTGGTATCTCAACACTGGTTGTAGCAGCCATATGTGTGGAGATAAGTCTGTTTTCTCCACATTAGATGAATCATTTCGAGATACCGTGAAATTTGGAGATAACTCAAAAATCTCAGTCATAGGAAAAGGGCAGGTAAACATTCAAACTAGAGATTGTACTACTCAAACTATTTCGAATGTTCTTTATGTGCCAGAATTGAAGACAAATTTGCTGAGTATTGGTCAATTACAAGAGAGGCTATGATATTGCCATAAAAAATGGAGTATGCCGAATTCATGACAATAATCTGGGCTTAATTGCTCAAGCTACAATGACCCCAAACAGGATGTTTCCTCTCCATCTCAAAACTCCTGGTCAGACATGCTTCTCAGCAAGATTAAACGATGTGGCTTGGCTATGGCATTTTCGCTATGGTCACTTGAATTTTGGAGGCTTAAAGACATTTCAGCAGAGAACCATGGTCACTTGGATTCCAGAGTTTAATAGTCCTTCTGATGTTTGTGAAGAATGTGTAGTTAGCAAACAGCATCGAAATCCTTTCCTAAGAGGAAAATCATTGAGAGCCAGGAAGCCACTAGAAATTGTGCACTTTTTTTTTTTTTTGAAAGGCTAAGAAATTTTATTGATAGTGAGTACAAGGGGTACTTGAACCCATGTGCTACAAAAACATCCCATAATCCACAAAAGGCCAGATTAGAATTTGCATAAGTTGGGGTTAATAATCCAATCCGAAAGTAGGCAATGCTTGTCTTTTCCTCTATTTGCTACCCATAGGAAGGCTCTTGTTTGGACTAGATCGAACATCCTAGCAGTATCAACCTCCTCTTTGTTAAACAGCTTTCTATTCTTGGTTAGCCAAACTGTCCATACCAGTGATAACCAAATAGCTTCCCAACCTTTTTTCTTACTTGGATATGGTGGAGAGTCTACATGCTTCACGAATGACTCCCAGCAATTATCAGTATTCTTTTTTTGTAGGTTCCACCATTTGTAACATTTGTAACATTTGTCCCAAATTTCTTCCACAATTTTGCACTTTAAAAAAAGATGATCTCTGTCTTCAACATGTTCATTACATAAACAGCAGATCAATTCATGAGTTTTTGTGATTATTCCCCTCTTGAATAGGTTTGCCTTAGTGGGGATTTTGTCAAGTAGAAGTTGCCAAACAAAACCACAAATCTTTGATGGGATGTAGCTATTCCACACTCTGTCGAATTCATGTTTGTGGCTGTCGTCCTGAAGGGAAGTTAGATGATGGTATCCTGATTTGGCTGTATAGAGTCCATCCTTGGTATGTATCCAGAACCAGCTGTCTTTAACTCCTTGCTAAAGGTTGACAAAGTCCAAGTCTTGAAGTATTTGTTCCCTTGCCACTGCTTCCCATTCATGCAGTTCACGTCTCCAGCTCAGGTTCCATTCCCATCATCCTTCTTTCCATTCTCCCATTTGACTTACTTTGTTGTCTATTCCTATAGAGATCAAATAAAGCCTCGGGTATTTGTTAGCTAAAGTGCCATCCTTACTCCACTTATCTTTCCAAAAGCTCACAGCACTCCCATCCCCAATTCTAAGTTTGAGCCCTCGAGAAAGCCACCCTTGATTGTTGATGTCTAAGTTGTCTATCTTACATAAGTCTTTCCACCAATTAGAGCCACACCCTCTACCCTCCCAAACCCACTCATACCAATTTTCACTCATCTTCCCATATTTTTCTCTAATAATTTTAGACCAAAGAGAATCCTCACCCTTAGCCAACTTTCCCCACCATTTTCCAAGTAAAGAGAGATTAAAATGTCTCATGTTCTTGACCCTTAATCCACCTTCAAGCCTACTCTTACATACCCTTTCCCAGCTAACCCAATGGATTTTCTTAGACTCATCGCAACCACCCCATAAAAAATTATTTCTAATTTTATCAATAGCCTTAATAATACCTATGGGAGCCAAGTAGACAGACAAGAGAAAAACTAGCAAGGACGAGAACACAAAGTTAAGCAAAGTGATTCTACCGCCAAGGGAAAGCCATTGACCTTTCCAAGTAGCTAATTTCTTCGAGAAGGTATCAAGTTAGGGCTTCCACAATTGCACTCTGACATTTGTGGGCCAATAAATCCTGCATCAAATGGAGGAAAGAGGCATTTCATAACCTTTATCGATGATTTCAGTCGAAAAATTTGGGTTTATTTTTTGCAGCATAAATCTAAAGCTTTTGTAGATTTTAAAAGCTACAAAGTGCTTGTTGAGAAAGAAGATGGTAGTCCAATCAAAGTTCTTCGCACTGATCATGGAGAAGAATATTGCTCAAATGAATTCGCAAAATTTTGTGACAATCAGGGGATTAAGAGGCAAATTACAGCAGCTTATACACCTCAACAAAATGGTGTTTGTGAGAGGAAGAATCGCACTATTTTGGACATGGTGTGGAGTCTTTTGACAAGGAGTTCCATTCCAAAAAATTTCTGGCCAGAGGCAGTCAACTAGAGCATCCATATTTTGAATAGGAGTCCCACACTTGCTGTTAAGGACATGACACCAGAGGAAGCTTGGAGTGGACGCAAACCAACAGTGGATCATCTTAGAATTTTTGGGTGTGTTGCTTATGCCCATGTTCCAGATCAGAAGAGGAAAAAGCTGGACAACAAGGGAGAAAAGTGCATCTTTCTTAGTGTTGATGATCAATCAAAAGCCTATAAACTTTATAATCCAAGCACCAAGAAAATTGTAATCAGCAGGGATGTTGTTTTTGATGAAGAACAGACTTGGCCAGGGAGTAAAAATGGTACTAGTAAGTGTATTTCTGTAGATTTTGATGGTGGTGATGATGAAGAAAAACAACAGTCAATTGAGAATGTGCAGCAGCAACTTGATATGGATGAGCAACAATCAGCATCCATTTCAAATGCTCCAAAAGATGCTCAATCTCTAGCAACAGCCAAAGAGGATGAACAGAGGTCACAACGGGTTAGAAAGAGACCAGCATGGATGACTGATTATGAGGTGACTGGAATAGACCATTCTGAGGACACACCTACTCATTTTGAGGACACACCTACTCATTTTGCTCTATTTTCTGACTGTGATCCTACAATTTTTGAAGAGGCTACCACAGAATCCAAATGTCATTGTCCACTTATGCACGGTAGGCTAAAGACAAAAATGCACATGGTGCATTGTGGATTGCAGCTAGATCATATGTACGAGTTTTGTCGTGCTGCATAAAGTGCAAGAAGATGCTGCTAAAGTAAGCAAGGATCTAAATACTGAATTTTGGATCCATAAAAGTGTAGTGTGTAATTAATTGGTTTTTCTAAATTGATGTAATTCCCTGTGTATGCCAGAGGCGTAAGATGTGAATTGCCATTACTTAAAGCCATTGGAAAATCTCCAATTCAATTCCACATGTAATTCAGCTTTTACCAGTAATAAAGCTTTATGAATAGCATGCGCGCAACGAGATGGAGCACACACAATTACGGGAACAACAGGTTAGTATATTGTTGTGGGAAGCTAAGGGTATCCTCAGGGATTACTATTCCTTGTCCATCAACATTTGACACCAGATTGGCGCTGTCGTGGAGAATCATGGTTAGTACTAGTAAAAAAACAGGGTGCTTCTTCTGGCTCACTCATAAACCTAACCTAATCCTGTTTTTGCCATTGTTGGTGGCCGACCAAAATTGTCAATCTCGTTAGGTACCGGGCGGTACTAATTTTGACACAACCAAGATAGTCGTCTTAGTGGGTATGCAAAATTTCATCCGGTACAAGTATTCGGCCTATTTTTAAGCAAATTTTAAAAAATAATAAAAATAAAAACAGAAGAGAAATCCTTTCACCCATTTGGTGTCTTTAATCCATAAAAACCCTTGTTTGGGCTTCATTCCCTTGCTTCTCTACCTCCATGATCTCTGCCTCAAGCCTCAAGGTCAAATCAAAATTGAACTTTCTTTCATCTCACAATATAGTTTGAACATTTTCCATGGCCTCAGACCTCTAGTGGGAGATGTTCCATGGGAATAATTAAGGAGATGTTGCAGAGGAGGATTTGAGGTGTACAAATAGAGTTTGAGGTTTGAACGAGGAAAGTGGGGAATGGGGATCCTCGCCACAGGGATTGCTGCCATGGAGACGAGGTGAGGAGGAATATTCTTCTTGAAGGATGGGGACAGGGGGTATTTTCCCCTTGTGAATTTTCACAAAAAATTTTTCCAATCCCACTGGGTCCATGGGGATCCCCATTCTTGCAAAAAATTAAAAAAAATATATAAATTAATTTTATTTTAAATTTAATTTAATTTTCAAACCCAAACCCAATCTAATAAAAATTAAACTTAACCCAATTTTACCCAACCCAATCCAACTCAACCCAACCTATTATGAACCATTTAATCTTGACCTTACTCATTTCTTATCACTCTCACCTTCCCCTCCCTTTCTACCGTCAACACTCTTCAAGATTCTCAAACCTTCATTGTTGCCCTTATGAGTTCTACCCTTCTCACGCTTCTACCCTCACTTTCACTCATTTCTCCATTACTGCTACTGATCTGCTACTGGACTATTGGAGTTGCTGCTAGACTGTTGTCGAACTGTTGGACTGTTGTAGGTTTTTTGATGAGCAAATGTGGATTTTGAGAGCTAAGGTATTTTGAGTTGGCTGCCTCCCTTCATGTTGAAATTTGGATGTTGGTTTACTTATTGATTTTATGTTGGATTGATTTTGTTTATGTTTGGAACAAGTATGTTGGATTAATATTTATTTATGTTTAGAACAAATTTGTTAGTTTAGCTATTTATGTTGAATTAATTTTTATTTATATTTGAACAATTTATATTTGATTTTATATTTAGAGAATTTTAGTTAATTGTATTTGAATTTTTAAAATTTTATTCATTGTAATTGAATATTAATTAATTATATGTAAAAATGTTATATTTTAATATTAATTTGCAAGAAATGAGGATCCCCGTTCCCAATGGAGAATGGGACTAGGGGGCAAAATTTGTCCCTTGTCAAAAATCTCTGCAGGAATCCTTGTTTACGCCATTCGTAGGGACAGGGATGGCAAGAATGGGGAGAGACTCTTCGACCCCATGGGACCCCGTTCCCATCCCTATACATCACTGTCCTTTTTTAAGTCTTGATTTATTTCATGTCTCCTTTTGCGGTTGCTATTTTAGATGTTTGATAATTTTCTTTTGCAACAATTATACTATACATT